TTTGCCAGCTCTGCTCTCCCACGTTACTGATGACTCCTTCCAGTTTGGTGTCACTTGCAGACTTGATCAGGGTGTGTTCTTCCTTACTGTACGCTGAATTCTCCATGCAGCCACGTGAGAAGGAATTGGTATTTTAAGACTGCAGCAAACCACATTAGCCTAAGTTAGATGTAGTATAGTTGTTACCTTCATGACTGAGGTTCATGGCGTTTCAAACCATTACGCTCCAAAGCTAGGTTTTCTTTGTGAAAGTGGTAACTACCTGTAAATAAACTGTAATCCTGATAGAGGGTGAAAACATTAAGTACAGGGATTATTCTCACACATGCAGATGTGATGTTCTTGTATTCTTAACAGCGTCGGGATACCTAAAACTTGATGTGTTTTGTCTTATTCAGCTTTTTACAAGCTCCGTGCAGATGAATCCCACAGATCATATCACTAATACCAAAGTAAGTCTTAAATCCATTGCTTAATGTACACAGTAGTGAGAGATGCAAACTTTATTCATTCTTTACTGGTATAATAGCACTTTTTTCATGCTCTGGCTTTCAGGACTTCCATGTGAATAGGAAGGCTGCAGCTGAATTCATCCTGTTTTGTTAGTTTTTAAACAGAAAAGGGAGACACACGCTAATTTAAATAACGTCCTTTAAAACCTGTGTTACCTTGAGGCCAATACCTGTACATTGTACCAGTCTCTTGACTTTCGAATCCCCTAAGATTTTAGTACTTGCAAACGTGGTGCACTTTGTCAGAATGGTTTCATCTGTATTGTCTGGTGGGAAAAGGAAGGCAAGAATAAGCAGCAGCGCAAAGATCTAGCTCCTTGAATTTGTCCTGTTCATTTATGAGCATTAGTTTTGGTTCTTGCTTGAGTAAGCCTGTGTTTCCATTTCACATTTTCTCAGCCAAGGTCTGCTACTGTGGGTAACTGGTACCACTGCATCCCTTTGCAAATAAAAATTCAGGTTTTTTTAATAGTTGGTCAGCTCTGTTCTCTTGGAAAAGGCTTTAAGCATACGTTTAAGATTTTGCTTTTGTTTCCAGATGGAGACAAAGGGAATAGAAACTGTCAAGAATAATGCTGGTCCAGCGGCTTCACAGGAAACACAAGTTTCTAAGCCCAAATCAGGTTAGTAGTAATGTTTTGTTGAAGCGGTTTAACAGTTGAACAAGCATTGTTCTAAAACCCATCTCAGTTATTTGCTGTGTCTGGTTTTGTGTCATGCCAATAAGCAAATAACCGACAGAAAATATTTACTGTATTTGCTTTTCAGGTTTTTGGTGCTGCACCAGGTGCAGAGAAACTGATGTTTTGTCAGGAGGATGTGAAGAAATAATGTTACGCATGAATGTAACAGTTCTTTAATCGCTTGTTTAAAGCAAATACCTATAATAGTTTTTTTCACTAATTATTCTTCAAATAAATTCTGTGGGTTGGATTTTATTTTTTCCTTCTGCATGTAGGAAAGCATGTGAACTGATGATGTCTTGGGAATTTTTTTTTCCTTCAGATACACAGCTCATCCAGTATACTGCGTTTCCACTCCTTGCATTCCTCGATGGGAACCCAGGCTCCACCGTTGAGAGCGGAAGCTGCGCAGCCGAAACTCCTTCCTCTGCCAACAAACCCCTGGAAGTGGACGAGCTCCTGGAGAGCAGCCTGGATCCCGAGCCCACCCAGAGCAAACTGGTGCGGCTGGAGCCGCTGACAGAGGCAGAAGCAAGCGAAGCCACGCTGTTCTATCTATGTGAACTTGCCCCGGCACCCATGGACACAGACATGCTGTTCTTGGATAACTAACGTAACGGGGACTCTGTACATAGTCATGAAGATGAACTATTTATTTAGAATATTGTTTGGTATATGAGTTTTTTGTAAATCACTGTTTTATGTAACCAGATAACGTGGAATCTGAAGTACCTTTCCTATGTTACTTCCTACAAGCAATTGTTTAACTACATGGTTAGGCAAGCTGTTAAGACACGGTTGGAAATACCAAGTCAGACTGTTACACACTGCTGTCAAATACTTGGTATTACACATATCGCTAAATATCCCAGGTAACCAAACACTTGTTATTAGTAAGCTTTGATTTATGATTTCTTATACTTCTGGTCTTACATACGACAATGTAAACTCGTAGTGTATGGTTAGGGAGCACTGACTTTCCGTATCTTGGGTTTTTTCTATTTTTTACAACATTTTGTTTAACAAGGGTGAGGCTTTTTTGGGGTGGGGGGGACCAGGACCTGATGTAGGCTTTCTTTTTCCCTGCTTGAACTGGGAACAAAGTGCCTGTACCTTGCTCAATCTTGGTTCTGCCTTACTTTCACTTCAGTGGAAGTGCTCACACATAGCACAAACTGGGGAAAAGTTCTTCACAGCCGCCAGGCCCCTTGACTGCATGAGTACTCTTAACTTGGACCATCTACTCTGGTAAAATAAATGTTACTTAAGTGTGATGCTTGTTAAGAGTTGTCTCTTACTCCATGTGCCAAGCAGCTGTGGATTTACCAGCCTGTTTTTCATGCCTCAGTAGCTGTGCAATGAGGTCTGCTTCTATGCATGTTTATTGGAAAAGTTTCATTATCTCCAGCCTTCAAGGTTTATTTGTAAGCCTCCAAAACAAGCAGCTAATGCAGCAAACTCTTTTCCTTCAGTACTGCACAAAATGTTTTCTCCTTTGTTTTCTTACTGAAAACTGTGGCAGAGCGCTGTAGCTTCCCTGCAGGGAAGCAGGCGTGTTCACATTGTTGCTTTTACTGAAGTACTCCACCTTCATTGAAGTGAACTTACTGCAGTTACATTGCACAGCTGAATGCCAGAGGGGTCAGCGCAATGCTGGGTGAAGGTGCAGTTGACACACATCATCTCACCCTGAGCTCCTGATTTAATATAAACAGTAAAATGAATCATAACTGAAAAGTTTTGCTCCCTCTCTGCCCTCAAAGCTGCAGATGGGTAGAAAGTGTTGAGAGGCTCCAGTGTGTAAGATGTTCCAGTGAAGGGAGAAAGCGGAGTTTAGTAACTTCCACAATTCTGGCACTGCACTCAGTTTCCCCCTTTGTTTTTTTTAAAAGGAGTAGTCTAGCCACTTGTGCAAGGAGCTGAACCCACAGACACAGGTGCCTGTTCATGTGTAAGTAGTGATTTGTTACAGGACTCAGGAACTGCTGTATTAGAACTGGTGTTGAGGTGCGCGATACAATGCAGCAGCAGTCACAGGCATGAAGCACGTTTGTGCTTTCAGAGAGGTGGATGCAAAGGGCACAGAGAGAACAACTGGCACAAGGCTTCAGGCAGGGATTACATGTGATCCCCCAAAGAGCCAGAACTGCCCTACTGTTACCTCTCAGATGAGAAGTGCCATAAACCATCCCAGGAACAGAGGATGAGAATACAACATAACACCTTACACTATCCACAGCTGGCAGCAGTATGAGACATCAAAAGTCACTGGGCATCTTCATCCAAATGTATTTATTAATAAGGTAACAACATAATCCAAGTTATTACAAGCTGTTACTAATCCTTCCACTACTATCTCGGGTTTGACCAACACATCAGACTTCTGCAGTAAATGTTAGTGTTTAGGTGCAGAACTAAAATAAAAGCTCAGAGGATAATTAGCAAGAGGAAGTAACTGTATAAACACCATGGTAACAGATCAGCATGACATCTGCTGAAGGCTCCAGGGTCACTTCCAGTCAGGCTGCTCTGGTCTCGAGTTGTAGTAAGTAACAGAGGTAAATAATGCAGCTTACATACTTCAATTACAAAGCAGCAAGCACAAAAGCATTCAAGATTTCATAACTGCACAGGAACTATACAGTGTTTTAATCAAACAGATAATGTCTTACCTCATGCCTAGATTGAGACTCTAGGCTCAGGTCCATCTCTGGCAATGGACAACAAGCAAAATACCCAATACATTAAAAGATTTCAAAATTTAGAGCTCCAAGTATATTAATAACACTTCCGTTGCAGCCTCAGTTACTGCAAGCCTCCTTTAGTTACTGTCATTTCAGTGCTCCTTTTCCTCCACTTTAACCACAATACTCAAAAAATTCCTCTAAAAGGGCTTACACAGTTTTCACCACCCAGCTCCTTGCAAACTCCATGATTGTAGCTTAGCCAAGAAAGTGGCACACACGACAGCAATAAATTACAGCACAACTATCCCATTTAAACTACTTTTTAAAAAAAAATATAATACATAGACACACATTGTCAACAGGTGCCTTAAAAACATGCTTTGAGCATCCGATACCAGGATGTTTTTCCCCAGGGCGTCTGTCCTCCTGCCTGCCGTAGGACACACGGGACCCAACGGCACCAGGGAGGACAGCAGCTCCTCTGCAGCTTCCAGTGCCAGTTTCCCCGCTGAACATCCGCGCTAAAGGTACCGCTGGCCTCGGTACGGGAAAGGTCAGGCCGTTAGTGCCAGCGTGCCGCAAGATGTCCAGTGAACTCCAACATGCACGGCTTTGAGTCGGAAATACGCTCACCCAAGACTGACTTTGGAATCAAGGCAACAGGGATCAAAGGCAGCCCCTCCTTTGCTTGCAAAGCCTGATCTAATACTGTTTTCTTACCCTAATTACACTTGCATCTTTTTTCCTACAACTACTTAGTGCAATTGAGGGGAGGAAAAAAAACCCTACCTCCAAAAGGTCTTGATCTTACATCTAATGCTCCCGAAGCACTCAATCGAAGAGTAATCCTATGAAAACCACCATTACAGCAATTGTCACTGAGCTCAACTAGAAAAACTCATTTAGTGAAATGACAAAAGACATGATTCAAGGTAATCATGCAGAATAAAGCAGGGTATACTACATGGACAGCACACGCACATGTGCGTGCATGTGCACACACGTATTTACAACTGCACTATTATCTGGAATACTGTTTTGTTTCAGACGCGGTGAAGCTAGCACAACCTCCCTAGAGAGCAGCGCAGCTTAGTCAAAGTCACGGTTTGTAAGGACCAGCGGAGCAACCAGAGTCCACACGTACAGCACGATGCCAATCCAGCTGGAAGATATCTTCACCCAGACAGACGGCCATTTGCTGGTCATTGTCTCATAAGAAGAATCCGGACTGCAAAAGAAGGAAAAGGGGAAAAAAAGAAAAAAAACCCACACAGTAATTTGCAACTTCTGTTTCAAGATGACATACTTGTGTAGTAAGCACTCTTCAACACTGTTTTCACAGTAGATTGTTTTCACTTCAGCTCCACACCGCAAAGGACACCCCTCTAGCCTTCTTCCAGGCAGTTCACACCAATCTGTGCAAGAACACCATTTGTAAGCTGGTGTCACAGGAAGGTGGAAAGCAACAGCAGCACAGAAAATATTTAGTAAGAGAAGCTGTCAAGAAACAGAAATAATTACAAGGAATCTCTAAGCAAATCTGTGGAAAGGCAGGAAATGGATAGTATTTATAAATACAAATAATGCATTTTACCTTGCCAAAAGACAACACCTAGAAGAATTAATAATCTTGATGTCATACTGACCCAAGTAGGGCCCACAAATCAAATCCACAGCAGGACTATCTATTAGGAGTTACTTTTCAAGAAAACACCTTTCTAGTGTTGCTATTTTGATACAAATTGCCCTTTAACAATTAGAGACCATGATTGATATTTTTAAATTCTGAAAAACATCTGCTCAAGCTGTTAACATAATGACAATTCACACATCAGAGGACTATTTTATTGTGAGGATTTTTTCAGGGAGCAGACGACCTGATTTCCTTCCACCAGACCCCAATCACAGAATAGCTGAGGTCGGAGGGGACCTCTGAAGGTCATCTTGCCCAGCTCCCCTAGAGCCAGGACCATGCCTGGACAACTTCTGAGTATCTCCAAGGATGGAGACTCCAGCACCTCCCTGGGCAACCTGTGCCAGTGCTTAGTCAGCCTTTCAATGAAAACACATTTCCTGATGTTCAGAGGGAACCTCCTGTGTTTCAGTTTGTGCCGATTGCCTCTGCTCCTGTCACTGGAAACCACTGAACAGACCCTGGCTCTGTCCTCTTTGCACCCTCCCTTCAAGTATTTGTGCACACTGATAAGCTTCCCAAGAGCCTTCTCTTCCCTAGGCTGACCAGTCCCAGCTCTCTCAGCCTCTCCTCATCTGACAGATGCTCCAGTCCCGTTATCATCTTTGTGGCCCTTTGCTGGACTCTCTCCAGTATGTCCATGTCTCTCTTGTACTGGGGAGCCCAGAACTGGACCCAGCACTCCAGGTATGGTGTCACCAGTGCCAAGTAGACAGGAAGGATCAGCTCTCCCTCAACCTGCTGATACAACATGTCCTATCTCTCCTTTTTCCAGCTCTCTGTACCAGACATGGGCCTGGTGTTTACTTATATTTAGTTATTATAGAACTTAAGACTCTATCCTGTTCATTTCAGCAGAAAAGCAGGACATATTTTAGCAGTCCAATAGATCATGAGAATTATCCTAGAAAATACAACAGGCACTTGTGAACAAGACTGATCTATATTAAATGAATTGTATTTGAGCCAAACAGTATACTTCCCCTGAGAAGTCCCATTCAAGGCCGACATTCCTCACAGCACACAACTTATACCTCCTTGTCCAGCAAAAGATAGCATCTTGTATGCTCGTTATTAGCACAATATTTTATCAAATGTAAATACCTGTACCAGTTGGTAAGCGTCATCATGATATACAGCGATGCCAGGAAAAGCATGAAATGAAAGAAGGAGTAACTGTAAGTAACTCCATCCCTCTCATTATCTATGGCTCGGTGAACATCATCTCCATCATCAAGGGAGCCGTCACTCCTGGGCATTCCATCCTCTATCAGTGTCGATTCATCACTGGTCAGCATCAGCTTGTTAACTTGGCTGTTGTTGGATGTTCGGATGCTGTATTTGACAGGAAAGGACACAGAACAGTTACCCAAAGAAATACAATTCAGTATCTGACAATGAGAAGTAGTAAAAGTTAATAGGAATTTTTTTTTACAGGAATCTTACCTTGAATAGAGAACACACAGCAAAAACAAAACCAGTCCTACAATTCCTTGTGCATCCCACCACTGAACGACCTGACCTTGGGTTGGAATGGTGGTGCTGTTGTAACCAATGATGCTCAGCAAACTTGGGTTACAGCGTCTATCTGTGGGGGAAATTAGATTAGAACTTACATAAGCCAAGAACAGAACAGATATTTAATAGTGCGTTTCCACACTGAACGCACAGTAATAGAAAAGAACTTTGTGACTGTGACAGTCTTGAAGTAAAGAAGCTTTTAATCTAATTTTAGCCTATTTAGTGTCTCTAAAGCAGGCAAATGACAGTATGTGGCATAAAAATCGGTCTCTGAGCAGATAAAAGGATTTTAAAACTTTATATAAGATATGCATCAACTGCTTTACTGTTCCATCTCACATAATTAGATGCAACAAA